GGGGGGGGGGGGGGGGGGGGGGGGGGGGGAATCAATTGGATTAGAGAGGGTAGATCAGATATTATTACACTTAAGGATTTCCAGTGTGAATGTTTTTCCTCTCTCATTAACTTCATGGAGATATTTATATCAATTTTCCCCTAGCTCCCGAATGCTTTGAGGATGTGTTCCAGGGTATAAAGTAGATGGGTTGGAGACATATCAATATTCTCAGCCAGCGTGTTCATGGCAGAACTTAAAAAATTAATACACACAAGAATGATGCACTGGCAATTTTCAGACATAAAGCTGTAGATGGCCCAAAGTTTCGAGAGAGACATAAACATCCAGGATTTCCGTATGTCAAGATCATTTTCTGGATGTCAAGGAAGTAAAACGTAACATTGTGCACCCGAGAACATAATGGATGCTTTGCTTTCGAATGTGCACACGTGTCGTTCTTGTTAGAGTCATCGAGCTGGTGGGGAGAGGTCAGGGGGTCAGGTGTGTTCTCTGCAGAGCAAACCTGTCATGGGAATGACCGACACCACCCACTGGGCTGCTTCGTCTCCACGTGGGCTCACGTACTTGGGCTCGTTCACGTTCAGGGCCCTCCCATCTGCAGTGATCAACATCCTGGGTGGTTTCACTTTCTTCTTCTTTTCGCTGAAGGTTGAGGGTGGGTGGGAACAAGGGGCAGAGGGAAGAGGGAAAAATAAACAAGAGGAATATAAGTTACTGATCTGAGGAAGAGCGTAAGAAAAAGGAATCAGAAATGTGTGACAACATCCACACTTGGCTGCTAGGAAGTCCATTCTGTGCTGGAAATTGACCGCGAAGCCAGGCTTCCGTACGGTTGTATCTATGTCTGCAAAGCGAAAATGTGAGCAAGACAATTTGCCAGATAATTTAATGGGGGGAGAAATCCTTTTCATGCCTTACCCATTAATATTCAAATAAGTCAATTTTATGCATGATTTACCCGGATCACTGTCAGTTCTCCATTTGTGTGTGCAGCTTCTGCTTTCGGTAAAATGACAATTTTTATAATGCCACGTAGAATCCATTTTATAGAAAGAAAAATACCAGCACATAAGGACCCATGTAAAAGGTCTAATCACAGCACTGTCTGTCGTGGCAACACCCTGGAACTGCCCCTAGAGCCCGCATGGAGGAGGGACGGGGGCAACGTGGTATAGTCATAGATATTCTGTAGCTGTGAAAACATGTGCTTGCTCTTCACCTACTGATGTAAAAAGTGACAGAAAAGCATTGATGATGGCCCCAGGTGGTGTGGCTCAGTGGATAGAGCGTCGGCCTGCAGACCGAAGGGTCCCAGGTTGGATTCCAGTCAAGGGCACATACCCAGGTTGCGGGCTTGATCCCCTGTAGGGGGCGCGCAGGAGGCAGCCAATCAATGATCAAATGGACAAATTTGTTTAGATGACAAAATTGGAGGTAATTCCTTGCCTCGGGTTTGTATTGTTCTTTTTTTTTAATTTTATTTTTCAATTCCTGTTTATATTCAATATTATTTTGTTAGATTCAGGCGTTCGGCATAGGGGTCAGACAATCATATATTTTACAGAGTGATCCCCCTGGTATTTCCAGCACCCACCTGGCACCGAACATAGTTCTTACAATATTATTGACTAGATTCCCTATTGTTCTTTTGGTATTTATGTCAGTTAACTTTATTTTAAAATATAAATCTATTTACACTTTCCTGCCTCTTAAACTGGGCCCCCAGGTCCAATAAATTAATGTTCCTTTGAACATTATTTTTCATCAGTCGGACAATGAAGGGGCATCCGAGAGCCCAACATCTGTTCAGGTAGAATGCAGATCACTGAACAGCGGCCGCACGTTCACCCGAGTCTGCCGTGCTCTCTGAGGCTGTCAGGGAAGAAAAATGTATCCTGCTTTCAGGCCCAATGAAGTGTAATGTCTATATACAGGTTGTTCCCCAAAAATATATACACACTTTAACAGCTGATAGCTCTCGATCAGCCGTGGGCAAACTACGGCCCGCGGGCCAGATCCGGCCCGTTTGAAATGAATAAAACTAAAAAAAAAAAAAGACCGTACCCTTTTATGTAATGATGTTTACTTTGAATTTATATTAGTTCACACAAACACTCCATCCATGCTTTTGTTCCGGCCCTCCGGTCCAATTTAAGAACCCATTGTGGCCCTCGAGTCAAAAAGTTTGCCCACCCCTGCTCTAGATTCTATGACATTTTGAAAATGAAATGTAATCTATCTTTATAATTATTCAAAGTGGACACACATTTTGGGGGACACCCTGTGTATGTATACATTTATATATATATATACAAGTATACAAGTATATTTATATATACATATATATACACATATAGTTGGGTGCATATACATCAGAAATACTTTACTTGTTAAGTAAACTTAGAATTTCCATTTCGAAGAGTTCTTGAGCCTGCAAAGCACTTTTACATTTATTGGCCCATTTGATACTTTTAACAATACAGTGGGGCAGGGAAGGCGGGTGTGTGGTCCCTGTTTAACTGAGGAGGAAACCGAGGAGGAGAAGTTACCCAGCGTGAGTGGCAGAGCTGCAACAGGAATCCACACTTTCTGATGTCATCCGATGTTCTTCCCAAATCACCAAGTTGTATAGACAAGTATTTTAATGAAATTTGGTTCTCATGTTTGTACCCGGCTATCTACCTAATTCATGAAAGCAGCACTGGCTTTGCTCCTCTTTTGGTTTCTTACTGCATTTCAGAGCTGACTGACTGCATTCCCAGCTCCCGAATCAGAAGCGTTCCCCCGGGTGACACAGTTTGCACACTGGACTTAAGCAAGGGCAGGAACTGGAAAGGCATGGAGCCTATCTTTCAAAAAATCCTACTCTGGAAATAACAGCTTGTGCGTTCCAGCTTTTGACAATTACACATAAATAATGTGAAAGTGAACGCATACCGTTAAATGTCCAAGAGAGCTGTAGTAGGAAAATACAGCACCTAATGAAATTAATTTCTAATTATTGATTTTGCAAATGCAAATACACAAAGGAACTCATTCATCCAACAGAGTGGTCTTTCTCTCGGTGTCATGATGACTATTACCACTAACCCGGGTCCTACTAATACTCGACACGTTTAAAGAACTAAAGACATCCAAACGAAACTCTACCAAAAATGCCGTAACTCATGACCTTTTAAGGGTCATCTGATATTAATAAATATTAGAGAATACAAGTCAACAAAACACTGAACTTAAAAAAAGCACAGTTTATGTGTGATGGCTAAGGAAGGTTGACCACAGATAATGAGTGAAAGAAAGAGCAACCATGAAAATAGAGTCCGTAAGAGAGTGTAACCTTACTCTCAATGATGGGAGAAATGAAATACCTTAATTTTTCTTTGTCTTTTCGTTGTTTTTCCATATGTCTAAGGGTTTCCAATCTAGACTCAGGAGTAAACAAACAGGGCTTATTCCAGAACTCCAGGTCATCTTCCACGTCGTCTACTTTCTTCTTGTTGGGTTCCCCTTCCTGTACTTCCGGTGCCTGGGGGTGGTCTCTGCTCCCCACAGAAGGTGGGCTAGGAGAGAACAGAAAGACACAGAGCACATGAGACCAAAGATGGACGTGCAGGCTTCATCCTTAACGCTGCTCCTTATGTACCTTATTCATTTTTCTCGTGTTACCTCCTAGACAGAACGTGTCTGAAAGAGAGCTTATCCGAGCCACATTGGAGGAATCACCGGCCCAGCACGGGCAGGCCCTCTCGGCTGGCGGCTGTCACCAGGAGGAATATGGCAGGAATCAGATTGGAGGAATCACACACCCAGCAATGGAAGTGACCTGGGAGCTTTATAAACAGTATCTATTCCTGGGCTCTCGCAAGAGAGTCTAACTCAGCAGCTTTGGGTTGAGGCCCAGGAATCTGTCTTTTATAAGACTTGGCAGGAGGTTCTGATCAGCGGAAGACCTCAGGGCCTACTGAGCCTTAGCCCTGGAGGAGGGACAGGGAGAAGAGGGCAGACGCTTCCTGTGAAAACGATGCTGTTACACCCAGTCACGGGCTTTCTACTTGCGAGCCCATTGGTTGGCTCTCGGAGACAGTACCAGAGCCTCCACATACTCTTCAGATGAATCGTCTGGGATGCAGGTGACACGGTGTGGACCCCTTGGGAAAAGAACACGGTTGGAGGCTTTTAACAAGAGTTAAGGGGGCCTAACTGGTTTGGTTCAGTGGATGGAGCATCGGCCTGCAGACTGAAGGGTCCCAGATTCGATTCTGGTCAGGGGCATGTACCTTGGTTGCGGGCACTTCCCCAGTGGGAGGTGTGCGGGAGGCAGCTTATTGATGTTTCTCTCTCATCGATGTTTCTAACTCTCTACCCTTCTCCCTTCCTCTCTGTAAAAAATCAATAAAATATATATTTTAAAAAAAAAGAGTCAAGGGGAAGATGAACTCCAGTGATTTACATACGGATCCGCAGCGACGTTTGCGTCCCAGCGTCCGTCCGAGCCTGGGTGGCCTTCCTTCTCCCCGCGCTCCTGCTCTTCTCGAAGTTTCCTCTGGGCCTCGCTCTTGTCTCGGGCTCGTCTGAGGCAGTAGGCTTTCTCCTGCTCTCTGACTTGTCGCTCAACTTCAGGGAAGTCCTGCAATGCCTGGATCCTTTCGGAACGTTCTATTTCTTTCCCATCCAGCCACTGGAATAAAAAACAGCCGACACGGAGCGATTATCCCAGAGTCGCCATCTGAATCAGCCCCAGCTGACTTTGATGGGGATATTTTAAACTTAGAGACAATGAACAGTGCACCAGGGTGATGTGGGAAACATCAGAAACTCTGATCTACGTCCATGTTGATTTCATACGATCAACACTATTCCTTTCAAGTAGATCGCAGCTTTCAGGGAAATAAATGGTGATTAAAATCCTCAAGTGGCCGGCAGATGTGGCTCAGTGGTTGAGCATCGACCTAGGAACCAGGAGGTCACAGTTCGATCCCGGTCAGGGCACATGCCCAGGTTGTGGGCTCGATCCCCAGTAGGGGGCGTGCAGGAGGCAGCTGATCGATGTTTCTCTTTGATGTTTCTATCTCTCTCTCCATCTCCCTTCCTCTCTCTCTCAAATCAGTAAAAACACATTTTTTTTTAAAAAAAAAAAGATCCTCAAGTTAACCAGCCTATTTTTAAGTTCTAGTAAACAGTTATGAACGCTGTTTTCAGAGAGAGGCTGTCGCCTGGTGTACCCGCCGCTCACAGCGGCCTTTCCGGGAGGAAGGACTTGCTCCGAAGCCCGCACATCAGCCGAGGGAAGCAGTGAGAGTGGCTGCAGTGTGAATGGTGGGTCCTTGGGTTCAAATCGCGCCCGAGCCCCGTGCCCCAAGCCCTGTGTGTGGCTTCCACAGGAGCACCAGCTGTCCGAGGCCCGACTTCCTACCCCTCGTGCACTCACCATCTCCCTGCTGGGGTCCAGGGGGATCTGAGAAGCGGAGCCTAAAGCACCTGGAGCAGCCGGGGCCTAGGTCTCAGGCACCCACCTGATGGCGCTCACCCTTCCAGCGGGTCCCCTGCCGCACGGAGCAGGCTCAGCTGGGACGCGGCTCCCAGGTGATGCCACAGGACCCATCCCTCGGACACGCTGCTCCCACTGGTGTGTTCTCTCAGAGTCTCTGGACAATGACCATCAGCCAGTGTCTCATTTATTCTAAACATTCCAGATTCAATGACCCGAGTCACTCATTCTCGTCCTCAAGGAAATTCTCCATGAGACCTGTGTTCTGTTAACCCAGAAACCTCAGCCCAACGCCTTTAACGGCTCAGTAAGTCAGGAACTGGTTTTGGTTTTCTGGGATGTGTCGTTCTCTGAGGCGGGAGAACTGTAGCGACTCGTTTGCATGCTCTCTGCGATTTCTGCGTCCCTGGAGCCTGCGTACCTTCAACTGCCGCAGAGTCGCCACCACGAACTGCCGGTAGCCGTCGAAGTCGGCACACGGGTTCCCCACGAGAAAGAGCTCCCGCAGGTGGATGTTGCCCCGGAGGGTCTCCACGCTGCTCAGCTCCCCGATGAAATTGACTGTCAGGTCAAGTTTTGTCAGCCCCTCACATCCTGGTGAGAGAAATGAAAGCAAAGAGGTACTTCGCATCGGTCATAAAATGTGAGAGCCATCACCGTGAACTGCCGGTCACAGTTCACACAAGTAGCAGCAGCCACAGTGGAGGTCTGCTGGTGAATCGCACTGCTGACCAGATCCCACTCCGTCACAGCCTCGCATTGAGACCTTGGGAAGTTACCAGCCTGGGCTTTCTCGTGTGCAGAATCAGAATGGCATTGGTACCCAGTGCAGAGGTTGTTGGGAAGATGGTATGAAATGACTCGTGTGTATTCAAAACCCCAGGCACCATAGCCCAGGTCTCATTACGATATCTACATGTGAGAGACAATATAAGCGGGGCGGGGGGGAGAGAAGGGACGGGGAATGCTGGGGGTAGGGTGAGAGCGAAGCCTGCATCCTGCTCATCAGGACCTCAAAGGATGAGGCCCCCAGTGAGAACAGCGAGGGCCGCAGACACCGCACAGTCGGAGCACACTGTCTGGAACCGTGCCAGAGCAGAGGGGCGCTGAGGCTAGTCACCCCCAGGAGCAGGGCTCAGGGGTCTGAGGGCAAAATAAAGGCCCACGTTTTCCAACAAAAATATAGAGCGCGCTTCGCTTTGACTTTTTAAACTGTGAATTTATTACTACAGTAGACATATTAATCAGTAAAAAGATGACTATCCCAAATGCACAAAAACAGCCCTAGCTGGTTTGGCTCAGCGGATAGAGTGTCGGCCTGCGGACCAAAGGGTCCCGGGTTCGATTCTGGTCGGGCATGTACCTGGGCCCTGGTTGGGCGGGGCATGTGCAGGAGACAACCAATCGATGTGTTTCTCTCACATCGCTGTTTCTCTCTGTCTTTCCCTCTCTCTTCCACTCTCTCTAGAATATATCCTCGGTGAGGATTAAAAACAAAAACAAAATGTATAAGAACAAATAAACACTGTTATATATTCTAGATTCTGCTACACAGGTGATGGCAATTCATGACGTCACATCTTCAAAAGCAATCATATATATGAAAAAGGACAACAAAGTCGTTATTTCTATTAAACTAGCAAAAATAGAGACAAAATTTTAAATAAGATTGTGAAGCTTATAAGACTATAATTATACTTTCCAGCATTCAATCTGACAATACACAACACAGGCTTTTAAATGTTTTCCCCTGGGTCCAGAATGTCATTTGGCTACATCAGCTGAGAACAGGTGATTGTACAAAGCTGATCAGAACAGCTCTGCTCACAATGGCAAACATAATGAAAAACACCTCAGGCACCACACAGTATGGAGTATTTGAAACGCGTCAATATGCTTGGTAATTCAGTCACAAACATAATGAAAAACACCTCAGGCACCACACAGTAAGGAGTATTTGAAACACGTCAATATGCTTGGTAATTCAGTCATTAAATTATAAAACTGTGGGCTCGGCCACTTAGATGAAGAGTGAACATAAAACTGCACGTGTCTATAAATACAATTAAGGTTGCGTCTCCACGTCTGTATGTTTGCTCTGCGTTGGGAAGAAATGTCAGATGGCGTTTATGAAACGTGGGAGACACATTTGGGGCAATATAAGTTCAGACCCAGGTTCCCGGTATTTCCCAGTTACCATGACAGATTCTGGGAGCCATTTCCATGCTGTTTCTCTTTCATGCAAGAGCAGCCTGACATTTGAAAGACTCCAACGGGTTTAAGAATTCATATGTTGTTGGGTTTCGCTGTAGAGCTGCAGATGAAGGACCCTCCACATGGCCATCATATTGTTCGGAGTGGCGGATTCTTCATTTTCCTTCTGCTCAGCCCACACATTAGAAATCCAGCCACATTTGCCATCTTACAGAACGATTCCTGCTGAACGAGCCAGGCTTGAGAATGCCTCCTCGTTGGAGTTAGCGCTCCTTTCCTTCGCCAAGTCCCACCCTGCTCTCCGGCTCTGCGATGACCCACGGGGGTCTGAAGGTCACTGAAATCAACCACGCTGACTGCCCAAGGGCAAAAGCTCGGACTGTTAGGAACCCCACCTCCAGGTCAGGGTGGGTGAGGAGGAGGGATGGAAAAAGAAGGTACTTTATCCTATCCCAGGGATTCCACAACAGGGAAAAAGGAAAAAAAAAAAAGGATGCTAGCTATTTTTTCCAGTCCAGCAAAACAAACAGAAATGCAACTTATGTTTAAAATTATATTCAGATTTACTCAAGTGGGTGGGCTGAGTGTGTATGTGCATCTTCCTCCTCTCTCACCTTTAAAATGAAATAAAAAGTGCATACTTGCCAGCAGACAAGTTGCCCGTCCCTCCATACATATCCTCAAACCACCCTGGCCCAGTGCATCTGTATCAGAGCGGGGAGGGGGTCGCCACAGGAAGAGGCATCCAGGTAATAGGCCCCAGGTGGACCCTGGTTCCCAAAGCCCCCAAAGACAACAGTGACGATGCTGCCCCCAGTGGTGGATGACCAAGCCATGCAGCAAAAATAGAATTGTCCCTGTCCTTTCAGATCCTTTCCTAAAAAATAACGAGCCGTGGCCACGCCCACTGAGAGTGAGAGTCTTAATGAGTCCTCTGAAAGCTTAGATTGATATTTAAAAAACATGGACCCTGATTAATGTGTCATGCCTTTGGCTCATAGGGGAACATGGTCACAGGGCTGCAGAGTGGTAGCTGGGAGAGCAATGACTCCGTTTCTACCGCAGAAAAACGCCAGACACGGGAAGGACCATCTCAATGCCAGCACTGATTTGGCCTTGGGTCTTCAGTAGTGATGACATTCTAGGCTTTGAGGATGAAATCTTAAATGCATGATGAATAAGTATGTCAATTTCCGCACCAGGAGGTGAAAAGGCTAAAATCAACCTTCACTTAAGTAAAATCCTCCTAATGTTAGCTCCTGGCAGATGGGAGTGGGCGTGCCTGCTGCTGCGCCCGCCCCTGCCCACTCCCACAGCCCGCAGCAGCCCCGCCAGCCAGGCCAGAGGCTGGACCTGGGATCCCAACCTCACAAGGGCAGAGGAGCCCACGCCAGCCACCGAGTCAACCAAATCCTTTCAGATGATTAACAGACACTTAGGAAAAAAACAGTGCAAAACAGCAGCCTGCAGAGTAAAACAGGAAACCTTCCCTTGCAGAACAAGACAAGGCGGGTTAAATAAGGACTGAAGGTTAAAAAGCATGGAGGATCGATCTAGTGCAACCAAAACATACTTAAAAGAAGTTTGAGGGGAGATCAGATCATACAGAGGTGATGGGTATGTCTATTACCTTTGATTTTGGTGATGGTCTCACACGCGATCTAGTGCAACCAAAACATACTTAAAAGAAGTTTGGGGGAGATCAGATAATACAGAGGTGATGGGTATGTCTATTACCTTTGATTGTGGTGATGATGTGTGCATATGTCCAAAGTCATCAAATTGCATGCCTTAAACATGTGCAGGTTTTTGCAGGTCAATTATTCCTCAATAAAGCTATTGGTTAAAAAGAGTAATTGTGCTCTAAAGGACGCCATCAAGAAAGCTGACAAGAAGCCCCACAAAATGGGAGGATATAGTGTTTAAGCAATACTGTTTAAATCGAATCTTAAGTCTCCATTTTAATTCGCAAAAATAAGAAGAAAAGTCTTACCTTCCAGATTTTCAATTTTTTCAATGTTGTTTAAAGCTAAATTCAAATATTCGAGTTTCTTGAGTTTGCTGACATTTTCTGAAATACACAAAGAATGCAATTAACCTTCAAGATCAAAGACATATTTGTATAATCTATTGTGAAGATGGTAAAGAGAATCGAAGAATTATTATAGCTATCAAAACCATGTTGGTCTTTCAGATCCACACCTGTACCCCACACACTGTGGGTTGGCAACACAACATCGGTTTCACCCTCCATCCTTTCTCATGGAAGCCAGCTCTGCTCACGTTTCAACCTGGCCCCGACTCTAGGGGTTAGGCTTAGCCTAACTGGGCCGGTGCATGGCAACCCCACGTCCCATGCTAGTGACGGCTCAGGGTCCCAGGTGTAAGTCAATCAGCCCATGGCAGTCTCCTGGCAACGGCGTGATGCGGTGGAGGGCACGCAGGCCAAGTGCTCTCGACCAGATGGAAGGGGAAGCTCTGTATTCCATGCTTGGGGAGTTCCTTTCCCTTTTTCTGCTGAATGTTTACAAAGGAGGAAGTGTGATCCCCTATTGATACTCAAGTCAGCTTGCAACCAGGAGGGGACCAGGTGCAGGATGAAGCCCACTGTGGCTGCTGGAGCAGAGAGAAGGAGTCAGCCAACCATGAGGTGGAGCCTGCCTACCTCTAGACGCATCGCTGGGTCCGACACTAGGTCTCCTTACTGGAAAGCCAGACCGAGTTGGATCTTCCTTTACTTGGAGCCCAAGTCACCCTGACACAGGACCATCGCTTTTAATGAACACGAAAGACTATGTAGCTTGGCCTGTGTGGACTCAGTGACTGAGAGTCAACCTATGAACCAGGAGGTCACAGTTCAATTCCTGGTCAGGGCATGTGCCTGGGTTGCAGGGTTGCTTCCCAGGAGGGGGCGTGCAGGAGGTGGCTGATCCATGCATGATTCTCTCTCATCACTGATGTTTCTATCTCTCTCTCCCTTTCCTCTCCTCTCTGAAATAAATAAAAATATATTTTAAAGAAAAGAAAAGAAAGAAAGCCTATGTGGGCAAAGCAACCACCATGAGTAAGTCAAGAAGTCAATGGCCTTTGCAAGCAGCTAACACCACCAGGGCTAACACCGCTGAGTGCTCTTACACGCCACGGGATTTCTCAGCATGCTGCATACATGATGCCGCTAATCCTCAAAATAACCCTGCGCGGTGAAAACCCTGTCATCCTCTCCCTTTCTCAAGGAGAATACCCAGGCGTGGAGCCTCAATCCACGTGTCCAGGGTCAAGCGGCAGAGCCAGGAAATCCGACCCCAGAGCGTGGCGGCGAGTCACTGTGCTCACTGCGCCTTGAAAGAACAGTCCTTCCTCAGACCCCACGGATGTGAAACCCACCCCCACCCCCCAGAGAAGGGTGTGGCTGGGCAGCCCCGCTGAGGGACTGCTTCCCCCGCCCGGGTTTCAGGGGCAGTAAGAGATCAAATGTGATGACTTACAACCATCACCCTTGTCATCCCATTTCATTTTAACATTTACGAAATATCATATATGTTATCACAGACTCAAGGATAGCAGTTTCCATCTTTAAGCCTCAGTTGGCTCATTTTTCAAAATGAGAACTTCAGAAAAAATTACTCAAGTGCTCTCAGCAGTTCTGTTACCCTAAGCCGCACCGAGGCTCGGCGAAGGCACTCCAGGGACGCCTGAGCATTTGAGACTCAAAGGACATGCAGAGCGCCACGTGACAAGGGTTTTGACAGATAAGAGTGTCTGCTCTGCATCCCAAACAGAAACACCTGAAGTTAACACACAGCATCGCCAGCCCGCAATCAAATACGTACCTCCTCTTCCCACACGTGTTATATGCATTACCTCTTCAATACTAAGAGTCATCGGGCAGAGAAAATATAGGTCAGATGTGTTGGGGAAGGATGTGCTGAATGAACTCAGGACCAATGGGCCGAAGGGGTCAGGGAAAGAGAGGCTCATAAGTACAAATGCCTAGAGCAGGGGTCCTCAAACTTTTTAAACAGGGGGCCAGTTCACTGTCCCTCAGACCGTTGGAGGGCCGGACTATACTTTAAAAAAAAACTATGAACAAATTCCTATGCACACTGCACATATCTTATTTTGAAGTAAAAAAACAAAACGGGAACAAATACAATATTTGTATTTGCATGTGGTCCGCGGGCCGTAGTTTGAGGACGCCTGGCCTAGAGCCTCCAGCGGGGCATGGGGGGGGGGGGGCGGTTCTGAGCATTCCTAGCCCAAGCCATCCCGGAGCAAGCTGCCACCAAGCTGCCATGACCAGCCCCCTCCTGCCCCAATTCAAGCAGCTCTGGGCTCCCAACTTGGCCCAGGCCTGAGGCTCATCGGAAAGTCATTACAAATGCAGATTCTGGGAGCCCACCGCCCAGGTTCTGAGCCCCACTTTAGCAGGACCCCAGAGGGTCCTCAGCTCACAGCTGGACCAACAACTAAGTGGAGCCTTCCCCCCAAGCTCATCTGCATCTCCAGTGAGGGGCGGAGCTCAGGAAAGCAAACTTCCACCCCCAGGGCACAAGAGCAAGTGGAATCCAAGAGAGATCCTTTTCCCAGCTACAGGAGTGCCTGAGCGCCTCTGAAAACTCCCATTGTTAACATGTAAAAGGCTGTGTAATTTCGGAATACTGTGGAAGCCAAAATGTAAGCCTTCTCACAGCTCTGAAAAGGACAGAAATCTACGCTCTCGGCAGTCATTGTGAGGGACCAGCTGTGCAGATTGAAAAATGCAGGGACTCCGTCAGAACGGCCAGGTCAGAATGGCCCTTTAATGCCGCATGCGTGAAAGCTGCGGGTGGTCAGATCGACCTCTTAATTGAACAGTGTGCCAAGGTTCCCATTTCTGGAAAAGTCCAAGATGCTGGAAATCACATTCTGAAGAAATAGAAAGAATCCTAATACATCTTCAAAAAGATGATGCAAATTCTAGGTTTTTGCAAATTAAGAGCCAACTGGGAGTTACCCAGCCAACAAGAGGCAAGTGCACCCCCAGGTTTCTGGCCCTCACAAGCGCACACGCACACACACACACACAAGCCTGGGAACTTCTCGTGTGAGGCTGCCACCCTGGCCCCTGCACACCACCCAACACCCACGCACACTGGTGACAACCAGAAATGCCTGCAGACTTGGCCAAACACCCTTGTTGAGGGCACTCGCACATCGCCACGAGGAGTTAAAACCTAACCTCAAGGGCTGACCTCTGGTTCCAGGCCAGCCCCACAGGGGTTGGCGCTCACTCTGCCTCATCAACCCTGACCCACCCCTTGCCCTCCAGCTCTGGCTGGTCCTCCCTTCTGCTCCGACCTTCATGCGCTGGCCCGGGCACCCTGGGTACCTGACAGTAGGAATCATGGCAGTAGGTGTCACCCACCCAGTGAGCACAGGCTCCGAGCATCCTTTCACGTCGTCCTTACACCCCTTGTGATCGCTGGCTGCTATGGCTGTGTCCACTCCCCCAAGAAATTCTTTCTTAGCTGCTGTCTTCCTCTATGGCAGTGGTTCTCAACCTTCCTAATGCCGCGACCCTTTAATACAGTTCCTCTTGCTGTGGTGACCCCCAATTTCATTGTTACAAATTGAACATAATTAAAGCATAGTGATTAATCACAAAACAATATGTAATTATATATGTGCTTTCCGATGGTCTTAAGCGACCCCTGTGAAAGGGTGGTTCGACCCCCAAAGGGTCGCAACCCACAGTTTGAGAACCGCTGCTCTACGGGGAACACTGTCTTGTCCACAGTTCTCCCATCCCGGGAGCTCCAGAAACCATGAGCATAAAGTCCTGGGAACTTACCGATCTTCCCGATGAGATTGTTTTGAAGGTAGAGGATCTTTAAATCGCGGCACCATTTGTCGATGTGCTCCAGCCTCTCTATTTCTTGCTGGTGCAAGGAGAGCTCCTCCAGGGAAAATATCACACACTCGTTGTGCTCGGCATTCCGTCGAATCAGGTCTTCCGTGACTGCAAGGACATTTGTCACAGGTCACACCTCCACCCTCGTGCTCATCTCCGGCTATGACATGACTGCCCCATGGGTCTTTCCTTGCAGTTAGATCAAAGAGCTGGGAGCAGTGCTGCCCCCTGCTGGAGGTTCTGACCCACCGTGGGGCAGAGGGAAGGGACAGGACCACATAGTTTTGCCTCTTTTGCGCAGGGTTTACACACATTTTTAAATATATATATTATTGACTTCAGAGGAAGGGAGAGGGAGAGAGAGAGAGAGAGAGAGAAACATCAATGATGAGAGAGAATCATTGATCGGCTGCCTCCTACACGCCCACACTGGGGATGGAGCCCGCAACCCCAGCATGTGCCCTGACCGGGAATCCAACCGTGACCTCCTGGTTCATAGGTTGATGCTCAACCACTGAGCCACGCCAGCTGGGCTACACACATTGTGCAGTGTGGATGCAGACAGAGTTGATGGGCGAGGACTATGGGCTTGTGGCCATGGCATCTCGTGGTCAAACTGGGTGAGACCGTGGAGGTAAACCAAAACAGAGCAACTGGCCACTGAGAGGCACAGTGGGGCTGACCGAGGGCAGCAGTGAGGAAAGGTGCAGCCATTCATTCACTCACCTGGTCAGCATTAGTGTCACCAAAGCTGCAGAGGAGAGAGGGACACCCGGAGTTTGCATCGCGATCTTTTAAAGCAACCGCCACAGGGTCTGTTCCCAGGAGGAACGACAGGAGCCGCTCAGAGGAGGAGGGGCAACAAGAGTCTCCTGCCCAGGGATGGGTAGCACGGGGCTGGCCTGACGGCAGCACCAAGGGACTGGAGACGGTACCCTGGGGCCCACAAGTCATCTTCATAAGATACACTAAAGTCGAGGGGACATTGACAATGGAGAAACCCTGCATTTCCAAGGCTGTTAAAAATTATTAATCCAAGCCCTGGTTGGGTACCTCAGTTGGTTAGGGCATCGTCCTGATACGCCAAGGTGGTGGGTTTGATCACCCATCAGGGCACATACAAGAATCAACCAATGAATGCATGAATAAGTGGAACAACAAATCGATGTTCCTCTCTTTCTCTCCCTCCCCCGAACTCTCTCAAATCAATCAATCAATCAATCAATCAAATTATTAATCCATTTGATCCTTACATTTTAGGAATGTGAAAATATTCCATGTTCACCCCAAGAGATAATCAAAATCCATTTATTGCTCATTTACAAGGTACCAGGCACTTCCCTAAATGCTTTGCATGTAATAACATATGCGTAGATGCAGTATCTATTTACATCTGTCAGGAGAGGAGTAAAGGTGCAGTTTGCAAACTCGCCCAAGGTCCTAAATGTGTTGAGGCAAAGCCCTGCACAGCACCTTCGGCTGCCCTCCCGCCATGCCACATCCTTGAAGCGGAGTTGGCCTTTATTAAAAAATATGAAACATGTATGAACCCGATCATTCGTGTGCAGTTAGCTGAACCCTCCGCTACTTCTGGTGGCAGGAGTGGCTTGCCATGTCCGTTCTTTGGAAGAAAGACAAGGGAAAGGGAGAGGTGGGGAGAGAGAAATGCCACACAGGGGAACGTGCCTGCTGCCCTAAGCTTTGGGTCCACAAACAGGCAGAGATGACTGCACACGTGGCTGGGGAGGAGTGAGGCTAACTGGCAGCCCACCACCCGGGCTTGCTGGGCGCCCACGGCCTGGGGCGCTCCTCTGTCTCCGGAGGCCCCTGTTAGGAGGCAGGCCAGCTTGCAGACAGGCATGGTGTCCCGGCTGGTTCGGTTCCTGGGCCACTAGGCACACTGCCTTGCCAAGGGTCTGAAGGCTGAGGCTTTGGGACAGTGAGGAGCCCAGGACCACACAGCAAGCAAGGCTGGCGCAGGCCCGACTGGTGTGTCTGACCACAGCACTCACTGCGCCTTTCAGCCACCCCCTCGCGCACCCCATTTCATAGAGGAGGACCCCGAGCCCCTCAAGGGCCAGGCTGCCGGGCGGGTCGGAGGCGGGCCTGGCACAGCTGGGTCTGCCCAGGGCCAAGGGGCGGGATTTGCCGAGCTGGGTTCGGGCCCGCGGGCGGGAAGGGGCAGCGCTGCTCGGAAGCTGGCGCCGAGGGTCCTAGTGGACCCGGGCCAATGCCAGGAAAGGGGACGATGAGAGCGAAGGTGGGAGAGGAAGGGGCGCTTACTCCGGCCCATGGTGCCTCTGCGGGTTCGTGGGCCCCGAAGCCGGACCCAGAGTCCCGCGGACTCCGCTCACGCTTCCCCGTAGCGGCTCTGCGCGCCCACACCTGCCCTGGGAACCATGGCAACGGGGACTCTACGGAGGCCGCACGGGGCCAGGCGGCGCCGCGTTTCCTGAGCGCGGGAGGAGCCGAGAGGTGAGACCCGCGGTGGAGGGGCTCCCGGGAGGAGAGGGGGATGTCCTCGCCTCTTCCCCGCCCCACCCTCGACCTGCCACAGACTGATCCCCTCCCACAAGGCTCTGGCCAGATCAACCCAGAACCACAGGGGCCCTCAGTTCCAGGTGGGATCCGCCTGCTGGGCGCGCCTCCTGGCCTGCCCTCTACCCTTTTATCATTTTGTATTTTATCGCACACCTTCCGGAGCCAGGCGATCTGGATTTGGCCTCCACTCCACGTACTAGCGGTGTGACCTTAGCTTCCTGAACCTCAGTTTCTCCCTCTGTACGATGAGTAACGATAATGACCGCAAGGGTCCCTGGGAAGCTTGAATGAGATAATGTGAGTGAATGAGAGACACTTGGTAAAAACACGGCTCAGTATAAAGGTTCGTTGTCTCTTTAAAGTCACAGCCCAACACCAGTCAGTTTCCTACTAAAAAGTTTTCTAAAAAACGCCACCCACTATGAAGGCCTGGGGGTAGGGGAACAGGGAGGGGCTAGAAGAGGTCAATGGGAGGGGGGAGGGGACATAAGTAGTATTTTCAACAATCAAGATTTAAAAAAATAAATTAAAAAAAACACACACCACCCACTACCCCTCCGTCAACTCTCCCTACACACCACTGTCTTAATGGTAAAGGGTAGGAAGTCTACCTGCTGTGGCTTGCACTCAACTCCCAGTAACCCAAGCCCCATACACGGTCCCCCCAATTCTGGACCAGGGACGCTCATTCGCCCTCAGATGTTTGGATGTCTTATGCCTCCCAAAAGTTGTTTTATTTTTAATGTGTTATTATTAGAAAATTATTACCCTCTACCTACCCCATTTGCAGCAACAACAAAAGGCAACATGTAAAAGATTAAAACAGAAGCCCCCTCCCATCCCAGTCATAGTCTTGCCTTGATATGTGTATGATATTTGCATTTGCAGAAAAGATTCATAGAGCACTGTTGAGTGTTCATGGTTCGTCATGGGCAGTCATTAGGGTTTGCAGGATGGAGGCAAGCGCATGGATCAGGTCAGAGCGGCAGGAAAGCCAAAGCAGGGGGCGTGGTGTAGGGACTAATCCGTGTGGCAGTGGAGATGACTGCATAGAGGGGGTTCTGGGACAGTAAATCTGAGAAATTAATCAGGGTAGTGGAGGTGTTAGATGCCAGGCCAAAGGAGCGGAACTGGAATAGTGGGGTTTCAGTGGAGTTCTAAGGAGGTACCCAAAAGCCACTCAAACTATAAATTGTGGTGATATCCACCATCATTTCGCCATGTTTTGGAAGGAGGGCGGTGTGGGGTGAAGAGTCTGACCTCTGGCTTCGGAGAACCAGTTCCAACCCACAGGTTTATTATTGTGTGGCATTTGTGTGGCACCAGACAGGTGACTCCACCTTCCAGAGCTAAAGCTTACCCATTTCCATGTGACGGTAACCACACAAAAGACCATGTATGGCCGAGCTACTGGCAGCTGTGTGTGCTGGTGTCTGATTCCTCCTGGAGGAGATGGCCTGCCATGAGCAGCAAATACGCCTGTGCACGGATTTGAGCATTTTGACAGTGAGGGGTTCACCAAGGCTAAAACGATCTGGCTGCTGGCAGGAAGCTAGTACTCGGGGTTATCCAGATAAGACAATAGTTATTAAGGTGACGGAGGCTGAAGTGAGGTCCAGTATAAAGGATCCTAGGGTCTGGGGTCCAGAAAGTTCTCAAGAGCAATTGCAGCCCAGGTGACTGGTATGTTGACTCAGCTTCTATCCTCGCCTTCAGACAAACTCACTCTTGAACTCTCAACCTCACTCTTAAACTCTGTAGTGGTCCTCAGGGCCTTGATTCTTCCTGCAAAACTTAACGCCTTTTGCCCGGCCGGTGTGGCTCAGTGGTTGAGCATCGACCTGTGAACCAGGAGGTCACGGGTTTGATTCCTGGTCAGGGCATATGCCCGGGTTGCAGGCTCGATCCCCAGTATGGGGTGTGCAGGAGGCAGCCAATCAATGATTCTCTCTCATCATTGATGTTTCTATCTCTCCCTCTCCCTTCCTCTCTGAAATAAATAAACTCAATAAAAATATATAAAAAAAAAACTTAACGCCTTTGAAACTGGGGTCTTCTATTGGTCCCCTCCACAAGTGAAGCAATGGAACTGTCATTCTGCATTTGTGCTCAAGGCTGCCCAAGTGCTTTGAGGTACTAATTAATTCTCACAGCAACCCTTGGCTAGGGGCAATGTTATCCTCTGCATGTTACAGATAGGGAAACGGAGGCCCAGTGAGATTATACCACCAGGATAGTGGATCCAGGCTTTTGTGGCCTAATCTGCATCCCACACGGCATCATTTTTGAGGCTGAAAGCTACGTAAGGACAGGAAGGGAGTCCGTTTTTCATCTCTGAATCCGAGCTCTCAGCACAATTCCCAACACTCACTAGGTGCCCAGTACCTGTTAATTGAATGATTGAATGAACGGGTTGGTGAGCCAGTCTCTCTTGGATAGTGGCTGTCCTGGGAGAGGACCACGTCTCATGACTTCAGTAGGATCATCACGAAGGCGCCCATTGTTTAAGGAGATGTACCAGGCTACCCTGGAAGGGTGCCCCATCCTCTGGTCATCAGACAGGTCTGTGTCTTTGGGACCTTTTCACCCAAATCTAGGCTGAGAACTCCTTCCAGGAACAGGGTCTCGACAGGTGGTTCCAGCGCTCTGGTGGGATAGAGGGGAGCCTTGGGTGATGGATGAATCAGGGAAAGCAGGAGCCCTACTTAATAATGTGTCAGGGGCCAGGCTGGGCTGGTTATGCCGTGCCCTCCTCCCACCAACATCACAGTGTTTCTCAGAAGCAGAGCACCCATGGGGCATGAAGGACAGGCGCACGATGAGCTGTGGTGGCTACAGTCCAGGGACAGGAAGGGAAATTGGGCAATCAATCACACAACGTGACAGCTCCGAGTCAAGTTGAGCTCATTTCACTCAAACTGGCCGAGACAGTTGAAGGAGTCCCGGTGTGTGTCTGTTTATGCAAATCATTATTCAAAAGAGACTCATTTCTTGGGCTCCTGGAAATATGACAAGATGCGTGGTGCTTCCTGAGGGAACTGTGACCACGTGTTTGTGCATATACACGGGAGAAGGAAATCTGGAAGAGGGTGTTTGGCAATTCCAGGAGCAAAGTAGCCTTCCTACTTCTTCTGCGCTGGATAAACTCCAGGGACATTGACCTGGAAAGCTATTGGGTTCTTATTACCTTCACTACTATATATACTTTAATATTTTTATGAGGAGTAATTAGCACGGTGGTTACAATTCCATTGTATTCCATTAATTTTCCTTCAGCAGTTTCCTCATTGCAACTTTATGGCAGGTCAACAGCTCCCGTGTTTACTGGCACCTCTAGACTTTCAGTTCATTCCTTGTTTCCTCCTTTCCTTCCTTCCTTCCTTCCTCCTTCCTTCCTTCCTTCCTTCCACCTTCCTTTCTACTTTCTTCCTTCTTTCCCTCTTCCTTCCCTCTTCCCTTTCTTCCTTCCTTCCTCCCTCCCTTCCTTCCTTCCACCCTTCCTTCCATCAGCAAATATTTATCAAATGTCTCCCCATACACCAGGCACTGTGAGGAATAATTGAGACAAATGAAAACTGTATCTACAAAAACATTAATCTTGCCTTAATATAATCTACCAGGGTAAACTTGAAAGGAGGCCCCTGGGGAAATTGCAAGTAGCTGCCAATTTTGCTAATGATAATAAGTTTATTTTAATTGCTAATATATTCCTAATTACTCTAGTTCTAAAATGTTTACTTCGCTGTCAGTCATCTGCTTTGATTTATGTGCTTTGTGGAAAGGCTTTGTCACATCAATCAAGTTTGGTGGCAGCTGCTGAAAGTGATTTCACCTTCCTTGTCACACAGCTCGGCAGGCCACCATTTGTCCAAGGGCAGAGAGGGGCCGTCCCCACCAGTTCTTCTAGGATCCACGGCTTCCCACTGCAGCTTAGAGGAAAGTCGTATTTTAAGGGCTTTGGTTACATGGACAAAGGAGACTGACATTGTCTGTTCCAAACTCTGTTTTTATTATTTATTTATTTATTTATTTATTTTTTAAAAACTTTGCCATATTCTTTTTTAAAAAAATATATTTTATTGCTTTTTTACAGAGAGGAAGGAAGAGGGATAGAGAGTTAGAAACATCAATCAGCTGCCTCCTGCACACTCCCTACTGGGGATGTGCCTGCAACCAAGGTACATGCCCTGGGCCGGAATCGAACCTGGGACCCTTCAGTCCGCAGGCCGACGCTCTATCCACTGAGCCAAACAGGCTAGGGCCCAAACTCTTGTTTTTAATGTAATCTTCTCCTGCCTGTTCTGTCTCCTCTCATCTACCTGAACATATGTGTGTATGTGTGTGTGTGTCCAAATAATTGTTTCAAGTATGTGACAAAGATCCCTAACCGGGGTGGGCATTAGAGAGGCCCATTAATCCATTTATTCATTATCTCCTCTCCTCCCCCCAAACATGAGATTGAGCCCCTAGTGTTGGGGATAGACTAGTGACCAAGACGGATGAGGTTTTGACCACCCCAGAACTTATATACTCATAGGAGGAGACAGATGGTAAACAAGTCAGCACATGAATACTACATAAGGTGGTTGCAGATGAAATGTGCTATGAAAGGGACATGGGGCTGATAGGTGAAGTTCGGAGGAGGGCGACTCGGGGCAGTCATATTAGGTCACATTTAAGGTGAGACCTGAGCAGGAGAAGGAGGCAGTTAGGTGAGAGCTAAAGGAAGATTTTCCCCGCTGGGGAGAAAAGGTGCAAAAGCTCTGAGACTGGGGAGCACCTAGGCCTGTGAAAGGAATAGAAAAAGGCTACTAGGGTGATGGGGCAGACGAGCAAAGAGGAAATGTTGAGGGAGAGCTG